GCAGTTATTAGTGTGTAATTAATATCATAATATATTATTTACAATGACTAGGCTCCTTGAGTATGAGCAGATTTGAAATTCTTTCAGGTTCTCTTGATAAAATAAACTGATATATCCAATACGACTTATATTTACATATGTAAATTAAATCAGTATGTGTCTAAAACCACACATGGAGTAACTTAGTCCAACTGTTTCAGAGCTGGTTGCGAGGAATAATGTGGGACAGCAGTAACCAGAGATACCTTTCTATCACTTTTTTTCCTAAAATCACTGCAAATTATGATCCATGTGAATAATCTCTTGATTTCAATATTTTCTGACAGCAGTATGAGACAGTGTATAGATCTGATACTCAGTTTGTGACATTCTTACCATCTAGATTTCTTATTTGCCTAATTCTGCAGCGGATTTGACTTGAGAGTATCAGAGTTTGAAACTGAAATGAAGATTCACTCTGCCATTTTAATAGGTATTTACTTTCGTTTGTGTTCTGGTTTTGATTTGGTGTACTTAATGTTTTGCACATGAGTTGGATAGGGTATATTTCATATCTAATGGGGAGATGTTGATTCCATTAGAAATGATGGCTGCTTGAATTGCTGATAGTGTTACATTTGAATAATTTAGTCCATGATTTATATTATTATTTTTACTTTAGCATATGAAAACTGAATGCTGCTGTTGCAACTCAGAGTAGCATTTCAGTTTTACAGTTTCAGGGTTTCTCTTTTGTTGTCATGGAGCTAATTGAGGATTTTTTTCATTTTAAGCTCACAATCTCAACCAAAACATAAGACCTGATCTTGTGATCAAGAAATTGTGGGTTTTTTTCTTTAGCTTATGCTAACTAGTACCATTTCAAAATTTAACCTTAGTAAGAACTAGACATGGAATTCAGGCGTTGGTCCCCAGAACTGGCATATGGCTTCTTATTAATGTTCAAAGGCTAAGAATTTGAAGCCATTTTGAACTCAGAACCCATCATGTATTTATTTCCCTCTCTAATTTGCAGAAAACTAGTTGTGAAAACAGCCCGAGGGACCCGATATTTTTCCATCCCAGCTGCTCCAGCTGAACTACAGCTGCAAAAAAAAAAAAATCTAAGTATTGTTTCTATAAACTGTTGAGTGTATTTTATAACACAATAATTCCCACAAAATCAGTAACTGCAGTTAATGACCGGTTTGTTAAGGCATTAACTGCACTCAGCTGGGAATGACCAATTTCTCTGGAATGGCTGTATAAGAACTAAGGATAATTCAGTAACACTTTCAAATAATTATTTGGTTAATTAATGGTAAATTCTTGTGGAAATCCTATCAAAGTACTCGTGACCCCCACATTTAATATCCAATGAGTTCATTATGATTCATGTTTTATTGCCATAAATACCAGAAGAATCCATAATGACTAGGCCATTATTTTCCAGGGCTGCCCTTAGTGCTTTAGGCCATTTGGCTATTCCACCTTCAGTCATAAAAAGCTTGATGCGCAAAACTACCAGCATTTGTAGGCCACAACTTTTTGGCACCCTACCAGAACTTTGGTGATTTTTATGAACACGTTTGGCAGAGATCTGTTTGTTCTTTCTTTCTCTTGCTTTTCTAGTTAGGGGAATAATTGTTCCATATTGTACCAAGTCATAAGGAAGTCTTCCTTACAGTGTCTGCTGCTGTTCCATGTGTGGCCTTCAGCAGTGATCAAAAATAGCAGAAAAGTTATCACCACCATGCTTTGGAAAGCTGCTCTCTAGCCAGGTACTGGGCAGAGTTTGAAATTTTTACAGCCAAGTCTCTAAATAATGATTGATTTAAGGCTTTATTCATTAGCATTCAGATGAGTATAAAATAATAAAAACAAAATAAGCTTGGTACTGGCATATTCAAGTAATAGTCAGTAGCTGCCAGTTTATATTTTTGGGAGTGAAGTCCCTATGTAAAAGGATGGCAGTTGGCTTGGTGGATTTTTCAAACATCCAGTTGCTTCTTACCCATTTATACAATCTTCAGCCTGCAAGATGATGCTTAGTGTTTAAAATGCTGTAGCTGTTGAATCTCTTCTCTTCCTAATCTTCGACAAACTAGTTGTGTGGTTTCCAGTCAACTTCCCAATAGACTGTGTGCTTCCTAATCGAGAACGAGATTAACAGTTGCATTAATTTGTGCTGTCTGTGCTTAAAAGCTACCACCTCTTGATTTTCCTGAAGCTTTTGATTCTCTGGATCATGTGTTGCCACTGTTTTGCATGAGAACTGAAAAAAGTCAGGAGGTTCTGCTTTTTCTCCACTGAAGTGCTTCCATAGGGAAAGTGGGACAGTGACAACAGCCTGAAATTTTTTCCTTTCTGGGAAATTAAAATGAAATTACCATATACCATTAAATACTTAAAAGCTGGTTTAGTTGCACACTGTTTTCTTTTAGCTTTAGTTCTGTAGTTTTTCATCTTCAAGTCAGTAGAATTCAGGGGTTTTTTTCCATTTACTTACAATTGAAAAATACTTCCTTGCTGAGCCTCTGCAATAAGTGCCTCTGACTTAAATCCTCTGAACCCTTTTCTGTTCCCTGTGTTGATAGTAGGACAGGGGAACTGGAGGGAACTAGGTCAGTTAACTGCACAGCAAGAAGGAATTTAAATTCAGTTCTTTTTGAAACTATAGCTGTCTCTGCTTTTGGTGTATCATGAAGTCTGTCTTATGGAACATACTTCAAGAGAATGATTTAAGTGCCAGTTGTTAAAAACCAAGTCCTTAAGATTTCAGATAAAATAAACTGATTTGAATTCTGGATATTCTTCACACTTTAGGTTGAGTATCTAGGTCTTTTTGATTATTTTTAGTAGTTTAGAAAGCAAGGCAGTGCTGTCATTCAGCACTGATACCCAAGGTATGTGTTCAGGCATCAAAATTGTGGCAGATTGGGCCTTTGAAAAAAAGGGGAGAGAAAATTACAGAGGGTTTCTTCTCAAAAAAACAGGCCGTTGCTGCTAAAGTAGGCTATTTTATTTGAAAATAAGCTGCCAGTATTGCTGAATACCAGGAAACTGCTGTTGCTACCAAATATAAGACTATCTTAGCACAAATGAAGCTTACAAAAATAAGGAGGAAAAATACCCATGAAGGACAGAGGTTAAACAGATATAAAGCAGCATCATTCTTGTTGACTGCCTGCCAGTTCATACCTGCTGAAGGTCTGGTTGAACTCCACTTTAGTTTCTTTTTCCTGTGGCTGTTCTGGGAAGCAAACTTTCCTTTCTTTTACACTGGCTTACCTTTTGCTTCAGATAGTGTTTCCTGCATTTCCAGCAAAGTGTAATTGTAATTTGAATCTTAAATTTGAGTCTTGATGTTTGAGTCTTAAATAGAAGCATGGAAAGAAGTGTTAAGAGCAGTGTAAATAGCTCTTATTTTTCCTAGTGCCGTGAAATTTGAAGGCATAATTTACTCTTGAAATTTTTATATTTGCTTAGGAGAAGCCTTTAGCTGTATTTATGGGAAGTTTTTTTCATGTAATTGCTGGATTTAGAATGTCATTACAAGTGAATAGGTAGGTGAGATGATCAGTGATAAGAGAAGCAGAAAAGATTATTAATAAACACTTCATTTTGTTTGCTTAAAACAGAGTGTGTATGCTTCAACGATTATAGTACTGTCCGTGCTTTTATGTTAATAATAGCCAGAGTAGCTTTCAGATTTTGGAGTCATCCTTCGCCAGCTATTAAGCGTGTGGAAGGTTGTGATACAAGTTATGTTTTTTCAAACAGGTAAGAATCAAGAATGCTCTGAAAGGTCAGCTGTGTTTTTAGGTTTGGCATGGGAAAGAAAACTTCACTGTTGTAGGGCAACTGCCAGAAGGGTTTCATGGGTCTTTTTTGGTAATTCAATTTTGAAAAAAGGCACAAATGTGCATTCTCAGGACAAAGGCGGCATATCCTTGCTACTTAAAGGAAATTCCAGTTCCTAATGATGTATGCAGAAGAAAAATTAAACTGTGTTGGTTGCTGCTTGAGGTCTTGATGCTTTGCCAAAGTGTTAAACAGACACATTCTATCTTAGCTCAAATAGAAGTGGGAGGTAGGATATTTCTGCTCAGTTGTATAAGAACTGTGATTAAATTCTGATTTGGTGACCTTATTGCATCCTGGTCTAACATAAACGTTCAGATGAATGTTTTATCCCATATATAGCCAGTATCCTGCTAATGTAGGGCTAGAGGAGAGCTTAAGAGAATGCTCAGTCTGGATTTCAGCAGTGAGTCAAGATCAAATTTGTCTGTGGTGTTCTTAAACATTTGTATGTTTGTCTGAGTTGGTTTTATAGAACCTTTCTTTTAAATACTTCACGGACTACTCACATTAAGCACTCCAATTTTTCTTGGGAATCTTTTTCTCTTTAGTAAGTATTAATGTGAAAATATACTAATGTCATCTTTGAAATGTATGAAACATAAAAGGCACCCACAGCATAATATTGTCATTTAGGATAATAAAACAATCAGTATGTGACTTATTTGAAAGGCATTAGATTCCTTCTACAACACTTTTTAGTGGTAGTTATTTTTCTCTCTGGCATTTGGTACATTCCTTACCATTTCACTTTGAGACAAGCTTGTTGTTTTGACAGGAATATCCACAGCTAAATTGGCATTACATTTGATACTTAATTTCCTAGCTGGAAACCTGAAGGCTCTCTCTAGATGACCTATCATTACTAAGTGTCCTTTCACAAAATACATTCCTTGCAAAGTGTGGTTAAGGAAGTGTTTTGAGGTGCTGGGGAGAGGGGTAGTTGTTAGCATTGCCTTTGTTCCCTCTCTGCCCAAATATGTGGTTCATTTGGATAGGCTAGGCAAGACCCTTTCAATAACGTTGCACTTCTGATTTAAATTTTCCCTCTATTAGCTAGGGTTTTTGTGCTTTTTGTTTTCCCCTTTTAAATGTTCACAACACCTAAAATACCAGACTTCTAGTAATACAGATTTATTTTTTTTTCCTCCTTATAGCAAATGAAAACTACAAACAAGTAGCAATGTGTATTCTGTATCACATAAGCATGGATGATCGCTTTAAATCAATGTTTGCATACACAGACTGTATCCCACAGGTATGTACTTTTCTATATGATGAGGTGATAAGTCACACCTTTCCCTGTGCAGGTCTTTTCATCAGTCATAGCAGAGCTCGCACTGACACCCACAGGTGACAGTGGGAACAACCACGATGCTGGTGAGTCTACTCATCGGGCAGCCTGACTGTTTTTGCTGCCCTTTAATGGTCCCCAGAAAAAGGATAGGCCACATATTCTCTGTCGGTGCTGCTAACACTTGAACTCCATCAGTGAATTGGTAAAAGTACAGGTGACCTGATGAATTTCTACAGAAGATTGGGAATGCTTGAAAGAGATTAAAGTTTGTGCACAGCAGGTCCTTAGGGAACCTTGTGGAAAGTATTTCCTTTACAGTTTTAGAAGACATTCTTTTCTGATCCCATTGCGTATCAAAATTTCAACGTTTCCAGTATTACAGGATATGAACTGGAAACCAGCCAAGCAGTGTTGTGTTGCGACATGACAATTCCTTTTCAACTGCAGGCATGTACAACAGGGGAGACTTGAAGACCATGGAAGGCTCTTCACCGATCTTTCAGGATGCAGTTCACTGCATAATATTTTGTCTCCAGTTGTGGTCTTTGATCCAAGCACAGATGCAATATCATGGGGTTTGGGGTTTTGTGTGTATGTTTTTGTGTGTTTTGTTGTTTGGTTTTTAACAAGAACCAAATACTCTCTTATCATTTTGGTTTTTTGGGTTTGGGTTGGTTGTTTGGTTGTTTTTTTTCCCCTGTCCTGATGAGGCTGGAGTTGAGAGAGCTTGTGTTGCATAAGTGTAAGAGCTCTCTGGTATCTTTTTTCAGAATTGCACCATGATATTTTCTTTCCTGCCAAACATGTTTTAACATCAAATACACTCAGAATGGGAAGTTGCCATGGAAAATTTTCAGAATGTTTCTGGTCACTATCTCGTGACAAAAATGATGATGTTTTTCCAAATACAGGAGGATTTTGTAGAATAGAGAGGGGAGAAGTGGTGTGAATAACTAGTATATGTTACAAAATGGTCTAGTAAACGTCCTGCTGACTGCCTTTTCTGCCCTGCCACAAGAAGCAACTACATGTTAAGGCATTTGCATGATACAAGGGACCTGCTTTGTTCTGAGCAGTTACCAGCCAAACCAGAATTTATGCCTGTGTTTCAGGGTTCACTTATGACATGGTTTCAGGGAATCTTGGTGTGACTCTTAAGATTCTGAGTGCCAAATGTAAAGAGCTATGGAAAATTCTGTGATATCATACTCTGACCTTTGGTGAACATTGTTGTTCTGATAGGCAATAGCTGCTCAAACTATTGCTTACGGAGCAGTATCTAAAAACTAGTGGAGCAGGAAACAAGTTCACTGTCTTCATTGGACTTTGGCTAAAACTGCAAAATTTCGAGGGTAATTATGGCTATTGATGCTTCAGTGGTCAGTGTAACCGTTTACAGATCACGTCTGCCCACTGTTCCAAAAGGACAAACTGGACAACCAGAGCTTAAATTTTATTAAAGAATATTCAAAGCTAGAACAGTTAAGGAAGATGGAGGTAGCAGAAAGCATGGGGAAGTGGGTAAGGCATCAGAAGAAAGCAGCCCTTTTAAAAGGACTTCCTGCCATCTGATTCTACCCTTGAAAACTAAAATGTCTTTTCAATACTAGTATGTGCCCTTTTGTGGATTTCTTTCCTTTTGAGGAAAGCTGTACATCTAAACTGGCAAATACTCAATAATGAATGTTTAGCTGTTATAGAAAGTGATTGGAAAATCAATCCCCTGTTGTCATTTTGAACAGGCGAAGTGCTTGACAAGGGCTTGCGCGTGCTGTCCCAGGTAAACATCCTTGTGGATTGCAGGAGTTAGTGGGTGCTATTCTAGTAACAGTTAAAAGTGAGTATTAACAGTTCATTCTTGTTTAGACCTCAGCAATGCGTGTTTTGTTTAAATAGGTGCAAATGCCATCCAGATGCTTATAAAAGCCTTTATTGGTAATAACCTGGCCAATCAAAGGGCATGGTTAGGCAGTGATGTCATGGTGATATTTAATATTTTACCGCAGAGCAGTGTGCAAGGTTCTCTGCAGCTACCCACATGTTTTCCACCATGGTTGTCCTGTTTGGCCCCTCTTTGATCTATAAGCTTCTTTTCAGCTTAATGCTGGTAAACGTCCTCTCTTGACAGCACCCTTTGCTCCTGTCCGCCATTATCTGCTGAAGTTCAGAAACCAGAGCATCACTTCAAACAGCAGAGTTAGGGAGTAGCCGGTCAGGAGAGATTCCTGAGGCATGCAGTTCTGGCATAATCATTCAAAGATGTTTGAGCTGGGCTTGGGGAGGGGGTTGGACAGAGGTGTATGTGAACAGAGAGCTGTGGGGGTTGGCCTCTGGTCACTGGTAAATAAGTGAAGGCAGGTGCCAGAGAGTCTAGACACAGTGATTTCAGTCCTGGTCTGTGGTATCTGATACTCAATATGGGACTTGTCTGATTGAACACTACTGCCTCTTCATTGCACATGCTGCAGTCTTTTTACTGCCTTCCTGTTAAATCAGTAAAAGATGACAATGGACATAGTAAAAGCAGAACAAATTTAATTTTAATATTTCCTATTTGGCAGCAATTACTCCTCCTTTTGAAGTGGCACAAGAAGCAATCAAATTAAATGAAGACATAATGGGAAACATGGAGCTCGTACGAAACTATTATTTTAAAATTTGAACGGCTTTAATTGAAACTGGATATATTTTTTCTTTTTATAGAGAAGTAGTTCAGTAATTAACAGTGTAATCCCATCTTGTTAAACATCTAATTTCCACAGATTTTGTATTGTGTAAGTAATGAGAATGTTTCCTTTCAAATTATTTGAAGGGTTTTAAAAATCTGTTTTTAAAGGTTTTGTAACAGAAGAGTTGCAGGGGGTGATTTTTGAATGCTCATGTTCTACTTGTTAAGTTGGCAACTTTCTTCTCTGGTTAATTCACTCTTATGTGACTGTCAGGCTTACGGTTTTAATAAACTAGGGATTTTATAACTTCTTAAAACAACTTTGGGAAATCTGACTCTACCTTTTTAAGAAAGGGAGGAAGAAATCAATGATAGCTTTACAATCAGTACATGAAAGTTCATGAAATAGAGATCAATAACTATGTTGTAACATAATTTTTTAAAATTTTATTTGGGTTAATTCGGAATGACAGCTTGCTATCTGATAATAGATAAACATACAGAATTACTGTTGTAAAATACTTTGGAATGAAATTCCTGCAATCCTATTGTTCCTTTTTCCTCTCTAAACGAGTTGTTCCCCCACTTCCTCTAGTTTTTAATGCCTTACAAACTCTCTTTCCACCAGGGGGCAAGCACACAAATACTTAATGGTTAGTTGCTGCTTTCTTCTCCCCCCACCACTTTTTGCCACAAACTGAGCTACATTTTTTGTACCTTATGCCCCGCTTATCTTTAGGTTTGGTTGTTTCTACTTCCAGAAATCTTAGTCTTGTCATCACGTTGCCTTGCATTATCATCTTGATGTGTTTTGTGAACTGAGCAGGTTTTAGGAGTAAATAGGATGATGTCCTGCAACCCCTCAATGAGGAAGCCATGCAACTTCTCTGCCATGGTTGGAAACAGAGAAAAAAGAAACTGATGTATTTGAGCCATGTTTGTATATTCAATATGCCATTTCAAAAAGTGTTCACGTTGAACAAAATAAGACTAGATAGCCTGTGATGTAATTGACAGTACAGGTGCCAGTATATCAAATGATGGCAATTCATAGTTTATTTGCCTAAGGAATCATCTGGGAATTCACTGACACTTACTAAACAGTTGGAACAGGATTATAGGCTACTTAACGTCTACTTACATTAACCCCGGTTTTCCTGTCCCAGTACCAAAAGAATAGGACTACCACTGAGAAGTGTCTGATATATGGCAGTGTTCAGCTTTACCAGTGGAAGCTGCAAAGATAAAGCACATTGCTGCAGATACAGCTAATTTACCTATCAACAGAATAATCTCAAAACAAAATAGTAGTAGAATTATTCTGCAATTAAGTATCTATTTCAAGTCGTAATTTTGGTAAACAACCAGGTATTAATCTGACTTTTTGTGGAACTTGAGTTGTGGGATTTTTTTTCCTATGTTGTCTACGTAAACTTTCAAAACAAATTTATCCATTCATAACTTTAAAAAAAAAACGAGTAAAAAAAAAAATAATTAAGTGGTAGCAATAAAATGTAACTAACCCAAGTTAATTTAAGGTGATGAATGTGCCATTTTTGCCACTTCATAAGCATTGTTATCCCCTAATAATGTAACTATACATCTTGTGCCTCTGACCTTTAACTTTACAGTTCCTGTAGAAATGTTGAGTATTCTTTTTTTCAGAAGAAAAAAAGAAAAAGCTACTATCATTGACATCATAACATTGCTCTTCTAATGCTTTGGAAAGATTAATGACTTAAGTGTGCTTGTGTTTCTTGGCAGATAATGAAGATGCTTTTTGAATGTCCTGATGAGCGAGTTGACCTGGAACTTATCTCCTTCTGTATTAACCTTGCTGCTAACAAAAGAAATGTACAACTTATCTGTGAAGGTAAGCGTATTGAGATTTTACTGTTTTCTTGGAGGTGACAAGACTTTATATATATTTTTGATATATACTTACATAAATAAATTACATATATTTGAATTATTTATAAATCTGTATATGTGCTTTTAAAAAATAAAATGCACCTATTTCAGTAATGATTTCAAGCAAATGGCCATCTCCTCCTCAGCGTTGGTGGCAGCAGTAACCTGAAGCATTTAATTATTTATATTGATTTTTTTTTTTTTTCAGTGTCCCACCAGTACATATGATCATAGTAGTTGTTTTAAAGAAGCTATAAAAATTATACAGAGCTGGTCTTTTTTGTTGTTGTTATTGACTTGTAAGAAAAAATAATTGTTGTCTAGACTCTTTACTTTTTCCTTTTAAACTTTTAAATGATAAAGCTGGTGGTTTTTTGTTTGTGCATGTTGGGTTTTGGTTGGCCAGTACTTTCCTTGTGTGTTGTTTTGTTGTGTTTTTTTTAATTTGGAGGATTTCCTAAGTGTTTGTTTCTTTTCAGGAAATGGTTTGAAAATGCTAATGAAGCGGGCTTTGAAATTTAAGGACCCATTGTTAATGAAGATGATCAGGAATATTTCACAACACGATGGGCCAACAAAAAGCCTATTTATTGTAAGTACTATCTATTTACCTAACTGATCTCCGATTCTTCCTACTGGAAAAGACTGGCTTTGGAGGGCTGCTGCTTTTGTCTTTACAGGGTGTCCAGTTTAAGTTTTCTTGGCTGTCATGGGTTGATTTATGTTTTGTTTTATAAGGCTATCTCAGTTGGTAGATCAGGCTTTGGATCCCTCGTTACAGGGAAGACAGATCTTAAGCTGTATCCAATAAGTCCCTGTTCCAAAACAAACACACAAAACCAAGCAAACAAAAAAACCCACCCAACTGCTGGGGTGCACATTGTAACAATTAACAGTTATCCTAAATCTCTGCTTTTAGAGCTAGAGGGCAAAATAAAGTGTTTTGTGTTTTTTTTTTTTTCACTGTGCCAAGTGTTTTGTGTAAGTGGATATTTAAAAATTTTTAATAGTTAATATTCAGTTAACTGTGTAAAGCTGCCCTTTCAAAAGAAGGGGGGGGGGAGTGCAACATCCTAATTGTGGAAAAGTTAAGTGTACTGTTAAATTTAGGAATGAATATCAATTTGTCTCAATGCAGTATGGAAATAGTAAGTAGAATTCATAAGTCCCCTCTTCATGTCCTCAGAAAATCTTGTAGTTATTTCAGAAAATCTGTAGGAAGAGAACTTGTGTTACAGTCACCAATGCAGTATGGTGTTTGCTATCTTCTCTCCCTTATTTTCTAACAGCTTTCTCAAACTGTGTGTGTAGTAGCTACTTTTGGAACATATGAACCAATGATCTACATCTGTTTAAAGTGTAAGGATGGAGAGGAAGAATGCTGAAATGCTTTCTTGGATTATTCTTCAACTGAAATTGAAACTGCATTATTAGCCCTCATTTTGAGAGAAGAGTCCCTTTAACATTCTTTTGAGAACTAGTTTTGATTTGATCAAGTGGTGAGTTTTTCCGAACCCCAGATTATTCACCTGTAATGTTTGTTTCTGTTTTTTCTTTAGGATTATGTTGGTGATTTAGCAGCTCAAATATCAAATGATGAAGAGGAGGAATTTGTGATTGAATGCTTAGGAACACTTGCAAATTTGACCTTACCAGATCTGGACTGGGAACTTGTGCTGAAAGAATACAAACTTGTTCCGTACCTCAAGGATAAACTAAAACCAGGTTTGTTCAAAACTTAGTGTTTCAAAGTGGAGTCTCTTGAAGAATGCTTTGAAGAATACTCTTTCTGAGTAGCGTCTGTTGACCTTTATAATTTGTGATTGATTGGGGAAACAACACTGAAAACCAGAATCGTATCTACAGATAAATATACAGCTGCTACAATATTAAGAATTTCTAAGAGGTAATACTTTCCGCATTCTGACTTAGCAGGTTCTGCAGAAGATGACCTTGTTTTAGAAGTGGTGATAATGATTGGAACAGTTTCTATGGATGACTCTTGCGCTGCTCTGCTGGCTAAATCTGGAATCATCCCTGCGCTCATTGAGCTTCTAAATGGTATATTGCAATGTTTGACTTGAGGCCCTGTTTTTCAGAGAAGCTTAGTTGATGTAGCTGTGCTGTAACCAAATGCACCATTCATTTTCTCTTGCAAGATGGGGGTGTTTTGTATATGAAAGGAGGAGCAATTACTCTTACTGGTAGAGACACAGGGACTAGTAATCTAATAGATTTGATATATCTCACACCTCCACAACTCTTGCTGCAATCTACTTGACTGCAGCAGGGAAAAAAAACACTAATTTTGTCTTGTCAAGAGATGGAATCTCTCACGTACCACTGAACTGTCTAGCTGACATGTAAGAGCTAGGCTTCTTCTAAGGATCTAGAGATCCTAGTTGTGGGATCTGAAATTGTGGTTTCTTTTTTTTCTTGCAGCTCAGCAGGAAGATGATGAGTTTGTCTGCCAGATCATCTATGTATTTTATCAGATGGTCTTCCACCAAGCTACCAGAGATGTCATTATCAAGGAAACCCGTATCTTTTTTTAAAGATTAAACATGTAGAATTACGGCACTTAATTTGCCATCGCTGATGTTTGGCCTGTATTTCTCTTGCATAAACCTCTCGATCTCAGAGGCTTCTTTGTAAATGGTTTATTTCAGCTGAAGAAAAAAATCCAGGCAGCCTAAGCATGTAGAGGGACGGGAAGATTAATAGTAAAGATTAAAAGTTAGTTTGCTTTGAAACAGGGAGGGGGGTTGGAGGGGAATCAGTGGACCAGATGACTCATTACTTCCTATCCAGTCTGAATTACTGTATGAATTTGTTTTTCAAATCACAGTCCACAAAATCATAGTCCACAGAAAAACTTAACATAGAGCATAGACAAACTTCTTGTACAGAATCCTTTTTTTATATATATATATATATATGTATATGTGTATATATATATATATGTATATGTTACATAGTCTGAAGTTACGTGCGTTAAAGTACTTCAATAGCATTCTTTCTTATATCAGTCTAGGCAACAAATAATGCCTGCTCTGTGTTTTTGTCCACCTAATTGTTCTTTGAATTTTATGTTCGGTGTAAGTCTCCCATCTTCTTCCCACAGTGGAGACTTTGATTTCTGTTCCTGGTTTTCCTCTTTCTCCTTTTTTTGCCTGTCTGGCTGAATCTGTTGTGTCATGGATCTGTTCAATTTTTTTGTATGGTACTTAGCACTCTTAGTCAGTCTTTACTACTTAATCTTTCAGTCACTGCTTATGTTGAGCTCATTCAGACAACCTGAAAACTGTGGTAAGAGGCACTAGCTGTCTTTGTGGGCCTTAACTGAATGTTAAATTTTATTGAAACATAAAAAATGGGTTGAATGAAGCCCTTGTAGGGAATAGCAAATTAACAATTACTTTGCTAACAATACAAAGACGACTACTTAATGTCCTTTTTCCTTTAAGCTCTGTGGAATATTTGAGAAGCCATTTGGAATGTTGTTCTTAGTCTCCTGTTTGAACTCCTAGGTAGCTAGCTTTAAAAAAAAAAAAAAAAGTTTTTAAATTAATCTCTTTGTAATGGTAAAACACCAGCATTTGCACAACACTTTTCTCACTCAAATTGAACAAGACTAGTATTAATACTGTCGCTTACACAGCAGATTATCTTAAGTATTTTTGAGACAAATGCACTGGAAACCTTTCTCTAAAACAAGAAAACTCCCTGAAGATTACAAAATTAAGTGTCTCAAAAGATGACATAATTCCACAGAATCTGTGTCTTTTGGACTAACACGTTAGGTGCATGGATTTTCTGTGACAGTTCAGAATGTATTTTCTTTATAAGGGACATGTAATTTTTTTTTTTAGCAATTTTGAAGAAAATTTGGTATCTTAAAATATGATTTTAAAAGAAACCCAAAACTAACAGGTGGTTGGGGAAGGCTGCTGAACTTCACATGTGATGGAAAATTCCTGACTAACTTTCTTAATGAAACTTGCAGTTGGAATAAAACTGAGCTGTGAAAAAAATAGCTTTTATCCTTAACAGTTTCTTTCCAGAGGCTCCAGCATATCTTATAGACCTGATGCATGATAAAAATGCTGAAATTCGCAAAGTTTGTGACAACACTCTGGATATTATAGCGGTAGGTCTGATTTTTTTTTTTTATATCATCTGTCCTTCAAAAATGTCTTTACATGAGATAATTCTAAAATAACTAACTAGCCATAACTTGCAAATTGAGAATATTTTTCATGCTCAACTTTCTAATCGTGTAGGTAAAAGATCAGTTTTCATGGGATAATGACAATCATTAATCTAGGCTGTGTACCAAACTTCCAAAAACTGCATATATACTTTGAAAATTCATGCCAGTTAGCTTTATGCTACAGACACTTCTAAAGAGTGCTTTTATACTTAATCACATTACATTTCATTATTTCTTAGTTCTCCAAATGGCTCTTGTTACCCAGCAGCTTTTATTCAGTTTTTCTACATTGCCTGCTGCCAGTATTTGTTTCAGAAATAAAATGTGGGCAGTGATCCTGAAGCTGGTTATTTTTTGCTGGGGGAATAGTCAGTATAATACTGAACTTCTTAATCTTGTTTTCAGCTCTTGGATAGGTTTCCTTTAGCTACATGACTTCGTTTGTCCTACTGTCCATTGATCACCATAAACTTTTGGACAGTTGTTTTGCATTAAACTGCGAATTTTGAAAAAAGATAGAATACTGAATTATGAAGTGCCATTGCTTTATCAGCTCTTATAGCAAGCATAGTCTGCTTCTAGCGAACCTGGGCTGTAGAAGCATTAGTATTTTCTAGGGTATTCTTCATTTGAAGTAAACATTGTGAAACTTATTCTAATTAAGTTACGTTTCATTGTTAAAATTCCTCCTGGCCTGTTTAATTGAATTGACTTATACTGACAAAAGGAAATGTCAACATTTTGTAGTGTCTTAGGATTGTACAGACTGTACATCCTTTTGGATGTAGAGTAGCTATCATGAAATTAAAACTTGTAACCAAAGAGAACTTAACTATGAGTCGAGTAGTGTATTTGACTACCTTAATGTTTTTCTTGTCATCTACTTAGTTTCTTCCTTAGTTGAATTATACATAATGCAGCTTGTTCACCAAAAGGTTTATGATAGCGTAAGACCTAATTTATGCTGCACAGTACTATAGTCTATTTTGTCTTTTTCTGTTATATTCATTAGTAACACCTTCCAATTCAATGTTCATCTAAAAAAAGTGAAACAATATGACATTTTCTGTGTTGGGATTCTTTATATCTGACTCTGGTTTTGCTTCATGGAGGTATGGAATGAAAATTGTGCTCCACTAGTTAATGGCAGAGTTGCTGTTGACATTCATTAAGGGCAAGATTTCAACTAAGATGAATTTGCACTTAGTACTTATTTATGATGGCTATTATATGTTCAGCTTACCAAGATAAATTATTTCCAGGGACTTCTCTAGTGAAACAGTAGAAAGATTTTTATCTTCTGAGTGAAGCTGGACATTTCTAGTGCTTCCAATGCTTGTTTTATCTTGGGGCCATTGCAGTTTTCAAGTGTCTCAGACGTTGATTTGTTCATTTAGGGGAGCTTTACAATGTGGTCCATAGTAATATCTAGTTACTGAAAAATTATGTTAGGGGTATTATTAAGCAACATTTATAGAATCTGGAAGAATAATTAAGACAGCTTCATATTCAATATTAACATGAGTAAAATATACTTGGATTTTTTTTTTCCTTCCTAAGAGGTAATCTTTATGCTAGCCGTGAGTAAATGAGTGCTGTGATAAGGGATGAGAAAGGCTTTTGAGCTTGCAAGAAGCACTGGACAGGACTTGTTGGGCCTTGAGGAAGGAGAAATGGAGGAAATGATGTGGTACTACTGTTACTGGGGGTAGGGGAGAAGACAATGAGCACATACTGAGAATAGTTTGTGTGGTAGTAATTTTTTTTTTTTCTTTGATTGTGGAGCAGTGCCACACTTAGAATGGTGTTCACTGGTAAGTTAGGAGAATTTCCCTTCTACAAAGGTCATTTTTAGCTTTATCATCTAGCTGTTGGGTTATAAGTTGCATAAACCATAACTAACACCATGCTTCCGTGGGGAGCAGGAAGCACAATATGCCTTCCTCTCTGGAAGACAGACAGAACCACTAACTGATTGCTTTCTTGGCAATGTTGTAAGCTGGTTTCACTGTGTCTCTCAGTACCAAAAATCACAGGTAAAAAAAGGCAACACATTCTAGATGGTGATGGCAGAAAATACAAAATGGTAAGTTATTGGAAGCTCAGATCTTGATAGGTGATTTGCATTCAGCTCAGAGGATATGGTAAAGCAGTCTGTAAACACTGAGGTGTTTGGTTGTGTGGCAGTTTTACACAACTACTGCTTTCTGAGGTGTCTGAACAGACATAGTCTTTTAGATTGGTGAAACTCCTTATCTGTGTTAAACCCACATAAGAACAACTTAAGATTTTCAGTCTTGTTGTTCCATACATGCTGACAGGATTACTTCCTCTGATGATGGAAATCAGAAACTAAATGTTGGAGAATAGAGATTTGAAAGTAATTTCTTCTTAGGGAGACAAATGCTTCTTTCACTCATCAATAAGCTCTATATAGTGTGATTGAAATAACACTGAAGAAAATTGCATGCCTTATAAGCCTTAGGGGAGATAGGCTTTCTGTAGTGAAGTAATTGTCACAGAAATTACGGAAATGTTACACTAGTGATGATTTGTTTAATATAGCTTGGCTGGACTCTGCCATTGATGAACTAAAACAGATGTGCTGCTTTAGCATAGTATGTACTGGGGAGTTTCAGCTTTGCACTGGTAGATACTAGATATCCCTTTTGTCAAAAAGAAAGTCTGCATTGATAATTTAGGAATGCTTCAGCCTCGTGTCATGTGCTGAGTCTTGACACCAAGCAACTAGTTTCATGTAGTTGTACACCTAAAGGAGACAGGTCTCGTGGCTCAGCTGAAAGCTTGGAATCAACAGCTGGTGTAGGAGTCTCAAGCAAATGAAGTTCCATTTTCCTCTGCCTCAGAAGCCTGGACACCTGCAACTCAAAGCTTGTGGAAAGAAATGTCAGCTTACTCGAGATGGTTTTACTCTGTTCACCTCAGACAATATTATCAAGAGCTAAAGGAATTATTAATCTCTCAGGTTTCTCATTTGCTTTCTTCTCCTAGATCAGTCTTATTACAGTTAAAAGATTTTTCCTCATTTCTTCTAAGGATATTTAATTAACCTTAGGCAGATCCCTGGTCTGTGTAGTCTGAGCCTTCCCTGTTTCCACCATTTTTCAGTTCAGTGTTTCTACAGCTTTGAATCCAGGCCTGTTGTACCATCTTGTTTCTCTTATGATCAAGAGTGTATCATTATGCTTCCTGCAGAAGTAAAACTTCTAGATGGGACTGTCCCTGTGATTTAGGAAGGGCTTTATGCCTCAGGTGTTTTTCCAGCTTTTGTTCTTTGCCCCAAGTATTTGTAATAAATGCCAAATAACGTTTGCCTCGTATAAAAAATTGTGGTAATGAACAGCTTGCAACTTTCCATGTTAGCTGAGTGCCCTGACAGAAATCCTCCATGTTGGGAATGCTGGAATTTCACATAAGAAGGAATGTGCTGTGAACCCTCAGTGCTCTGGGATTTGGGGCCAGCTGTACAAGATGTTGGCTAGTGCTCTTAGAATCAAGGAAGAGCAGACCACAGGGATTTGGGGTGGGCTATATTTGAGTAGGCAGTGTGCTCTGCAAATAGATAACCTTTGACACCAGCTTGGTGTCCTCTTTCCATGCAGTGCTGTAGTCACTCCAAGGAAAAAAAAGAAAGGTTCTCCCTTCACTTGTCTGACTTTCTTCCATGTCTCTTGTTCCCCTGTTGTCCTCCAATAGTCATGAATACAGTGTGGTGGGCAGAAGGGCAGCTAGGGTGTGGGGCTGCAGGCTGAACTGTTGACATAATGTTTTCACTGATAATTTCTGCATTGTTAAATTTGCAAACGGTCTGCTTTGGTGCTGGTAGCTTTTTGTGGCAAAGAGCATGCACTCAACAAGAAAGGCTCTACCTGGTCTAAAAAGAATAACCATGCTGCAGGCAGCATCAGATAGGGCAGGCATGTCCTGGTTTTTGTCTTCACATAAATCAAACTCTGACACATTTCTTTCTAGCATTGGTGTTTGCTCTTTGGAGTTTTAAGACTAGGAAGGTGAGCCAAATGTCTGATCTCTGTTACTTTCATAATAGCTTGCCAATGAGATACCTTATATTCCTCCAAATTTTCTTTCTTCAGCTATTGAGAATATAGGAACCATGTGGATGGTGTGCATTTTATGTAGGCACCTAAAATTAGGGGGCATGATGTTTATTTACTACCTTTTCTGCTTTGCTATTAGTTTCATATTACAGGTTTCTATTAGCTTCCCATCACAATACATGTAGTGATGAACCTAGTTGTGAAGAAGTGACTGGGTTGCACAGGTGTATGGTAGAAGGATTTTTTTTTTTGCCTGTGAATGAATTGCCCTCCAGTGGTACTTACTGTAAGGTGGGTGTTATAGACACCTGCAGAAGGTGATCCATAACATCTGTTTCTCTCCTTCATTTATAGAGGCACATAGTTCAAGTGACATGCCCAACTTTTGGATAGCTAGACAAGATAAATCTTTTCTTTCTTAATAAGTGATTAATTTAACCTTTCATGTAAACTGTGTGTTTTAGGGATGGTTAAATAATGAAGAATGTAACATATCACCAAGTACAGCCTTGAACATAATGAGCATTCTACTTACTGTATAGCAGTTTCAGTATGAGGAATCGCATCAAATGAACCCTATTACAGACCCAATTAAAGGGCAACCACATTAAAGTGAAAAGGAAAATCTGTTTTTCATCAGCTGTGAGAGAACACAAAGCAGATCTGTGTAGCTCTATGTTATCCTATAGTGTGTTAATCAGATACAAGGTGTGACGGAAGCCAGTGACAAAGGGGACCCCTGATAGGGAACAGACATGCTCTGATAATAGGCCAGTTAACGCTTCATAATATTTCAATGGTTCAGTAGTAAACAAAGTTGGAAGTGGAACTTCAAAAAGGATGGCACATTCCTCGCAGAGTCGAACCATACATCTTCTATGACACTTTTCGATTTATGGAAACCGAATGTTAAAAACAGTGATGTCAGGGAGCTCCAAAGAGAATAAAATCAACCTTCAGGATTCCTCCTTTTATGTTTCTGAACATGCAGTATTTGCAGGGGTAGGCGGCTGGGGGTTGGACATTTTGTCCCCTTTCTTCTCATT